ACAGCAGACAGCCCTGCGGTACTCCTTTCTCTTTCTTGACCCAATCAGTTGCTCCATACCGGGAACTAACTTGCTTCCTGACCACGTGTCATTAGGGAAATGCAAGTTAAAGCAACTGTGACCCGAGGTACCACTACAGACCTGTTAGGCCAGCACAGGTCAGGAACACAGAGAACACGACCTGCGGGAGGGTGCGGAGCAGCGGGAGCCCGTCCACGGCTGGCGGGAGGGCTAGCGGGTGCAGCGCTGTGGGAGACACTGTTGTGTTCCCAGAGAACTGAACTCACTGTCACCGTGTCACCCGGCAGTCATGCTCCTTGATATTTACCCAAATGAAATGAAGCCATATCCACCCTGAAAACTGCACACGGGTGTTTACACCAGCTTTTGTTGTTCAGTCTCTAAGTCATGTCTGACTCTTTGCGACCCCACGCACTGCAGCACGCCAGGCTCCTCTGTGCTCCACTATCTCCCTGATTTTGCTCACAATTCACGTCCACTGAGTCAGTGGTGCTATCTAACCATCTCATCCTCTTCTGCCCCCTTCTCCTTTTGCCTTTAATCTTTCCTGGCATCAGAGTCTTTCCAATGAGTCACCTCTTCGTTTCAAGTGGCCACAGTATTGGAGTTCCAGCTTCAGCATCGTCCTTCCAATGAATATTCAGGATTGATTTCCTTTAGGATGGACCGGTTTGATCTCTTGCAGTCCAAAGGAGTCTCAAGAGTCTTCTCCAGCACCACAACTCAAAAGCATCAATTCTTCGACGCTCAGGCTTCTTTATGATCCAACTCTCACATCCATACATGACTACTGGGAAAGCCATAGCTTTGACTTTACAGACCTTTACAGCAGCTTTATTCATAATTATTGAAACTTAGGAGCAACCAAGATATTCTTCAGAAGGTGAATGGATAAAGCAACAGTGGTCCATACAGACCATGGAATACTAAAAAGGAATGAGCTCTCAAGTCACAAAAAGACAAGCAGGAAACTTGAATGAACATTCCTAGTGAAAGAAGATAAATCTGAAAAGGCGACAGACTGTGTGCTTCCAACTACATGACATTCTGGAAAAGGCAAAACTATGGAGACAGTTAAAAAAAAAAAAAATCAGGGGGTGAAGAGGGGACGTATAGATAGAGCCCAGAGGGTTCTCAGGATTCTCAGAGTAAATTCATTCAGTGAAATTACTCTGTGTGAAGCCATAGGATGGATACATGTCAGTGTCTTTTTGCCCAAACCCATGGACGTCCAACCCCGAGAGTGACCTCAGTGGCAACTATGGACTTTCGGTGATGAGGACACGTCAGGTAGGCCCATCCTTTGTCACAGCTCCGGTGGGAGGTGGCGAGGGTCGGGGATGGGTGTAACTGGAGTCGGGGGGGGAGAGGGGGTGTATGCAAACCTCTGCACTTCCGACTTAACTTTGCAGTGAACCTAAAACCGCTTTTAAAAGTAAAGCTTAGGGATTTCCCTGGTGGTCCAGTGGCTAAGACGCCATGCTCCCAATGGAGAAGACCGGGATTCGATCCCTGGTCGGGGAACTAGATCCCACATGCTGCAACTAAGAGTTCTTGTGGCACAAATGAAGCTCCCTCCTGCCCCAAGGAAGACCGAAGCTCCCGAGCGCCAAGGAAGACCTGGTGCAGACAACTAAGTAAACATTTTCCAAAATTAAAAAATAAAGCTTATAAATGAATGGATGAACAAATGGAAAAAAATCAGAGTCGGGGGACCATCTGTGATCAGTGTGCTCAGTCGACTCTTGGAGGCCCCACGCACTGTACCCCGCCAGGCTCCTCTGTCCATGGGGTTTCCCAGGCAAGAACGCTGGAGTGGGCTGCCAGTCCCTTCTCCAGGGGTCTTCCTGACCCGGAGGTGGAACCTGCATCTCCTGAGTCTCCTGCTTTGGCAGGCAGATTCTTTACCCCCGAGCCCCCTGGGAAGCCCCAGGGACTGTCTAGGTGTAGGGGAAGTGCCCACACACCCCGAGCGTGTCCCACACGGCAGACCCCAGGTCTGCACGAGCTCCCGCGGGCTACCCCCTCCTCCGGCGGGGCCCTCTCCCGCGGCCCTTCATGGGCAGCACAAAGGCAGCCTTGTCACTCCCCCCACGGCCCAGAGGCCCACAGAGACCACTGCTCCTCGGCTCCTCGGGGGCTTCTATCTCTCAGCGCTCTGCTCTGGAGCAGGCGTGACACCCACACCAGATAAAAGCTCAGCAGAAAACAGCCTGTTTCCACTGGCATGGGGAAATCAAACAACAGTTAACCAGACAGGCTTATTCATCTCTCCGCCAGCTCTGCTGTACGTGGGATCACCACCGAGGGTCCCCCCGGGAGACCGCCTGGCCGGGGGACGGCCGGGGGCCTCGGGTAGGACAGGGGGTGCCCTCCCACCTCCACTCCAGCTGGCATCCTCTTGCTCTGAGAAAAGCAACAGCGACGGGAAAAGAGATAACCCACGGGCTTTGCCAGCAAATGTTATGGACTGTGAGCTGTCCTGTGGGTTCAGAGAACTACTGGGCTTGTCAAATAAAATCAGACTGAGCGAACTCTCAAAGCGCCAGCGGAGACGCCGGGAGTCGCCCAGGCTCTGCGCCATCGCCTCCTCCCTGATGGGGACGGTGCTTCATGCAGGAAGAATGCGGTGCGAGCTTTCCCAGCTCCCTTCTCCAGCCGCTGCTGAAGCAGGGCAGCCTCTTGGAAGCACAGACCGCTCAGCACTCCGCTCTCAGAAACCCCACGAGTTGTTCTGGGGCATGAATCGTGCTTCGGGTTTGGAAAAAGCCGCAGAACCAAAACCAATGGAGGCTGGGGCTAGCCCACCGTGGGGGCGGGCTGCGGGGGGCTGTTCCGGAGGCTCCCGGGGCCGAGTGTCTGTCTGCTCCATCTGAGGGTGGCGACGGGGGCTGGCAAGCTCTGGACAGGCCTTAGTCACAGGCCAACCTTCCCAGAATCCAGATTCAGCCCTTTCACTACCTCAGACCACAGCAGAGCTGTTGACCCCAGGTTCTAATTCTCTGAGGAGCCTCAGATGATGTTTCAGAATGTCCTGGAACTCCATGGGTAAGGACGTTCCTTAAGCAATCACACAAAAACCCCGTAGTGAATTATCACCCAAAACTTTTGGAATGTTGGTGAGAGATCAGGGTGGGGGATGGGAGAGTCTCCTTACCAAACCATTAACTGTGTCCAATAATCTAGCCATGGACTAAGGTAGCCTTCGAGAGATGAATTTCATGTTTTCCTTCTAGAAACAGAAAAATAGGCCCGAACAAATGAGCAGACTCACCCCCACCCCCCTCAGCCCCCGCAGGCCCCAGAGTGCCACACAGCACATGCGTCTGTTCTAGAAATGCACAGTCCTCACTGTGTTCCTCAAAGACCTTCCAGAGACAGGCATGCATTTTTCAGCTTTATAGCCAAATGTGCAAGGACTTATCTGGAAGGAATTTTTCACTGCCCCCGCCCACCCCACAACCTCCCCTCAGTGGGTCTTTCACGTTCCCCAGGATGGTGATTCGGTTGGCATTTCATGCTGCAGAAAAAACTGGAGACCATCTTGGCTTCTGCTGCTTCGTACATAAAGCTTTTCCCGCATCCTATGAGGATGGAATCGTAAGACAGAACCTCGAGTAATTCCCAGGAGAAATGAGAGGCAAGTCAGCCCAGATGCCCTCTCCCCTCAGCCCCCAGGTTCCTACTTTAGGTCAAAGGCCAGAATTGGTCTTGACTTTGTTCTGCCACTAGTTGGGTCTGTGATCCTGAGCAGTCATGTCACCTCTCTAAGGACACCTCGCTCCGTTTCAGCGAGGAGGGAACGTTTCCTTCCTGTATGTGTTAGCACAGGCTCGGTTAGCACAACATCTCCCACTATCTTCATGGTTTGAAAGAACAAGGGAGTGTTTCTCCCTCAGGCAACATGTACCTCTTGACACCCGCATTCAGCAACCCAGGCACCGGCCCATTACCTGTTCCATGGAGAAATGACCAGCCTTCCCCCCATCCCCCCAGGCCTGGAGGGGGCTGGATGCTGGTGAATACTGAAACAACTGCCATGCCTGTCCAGAGGTGGCAAGCAAGGCCAGATTCCCCGGGGGAGCCTGGCTTCCCTGGCAGAGTCCGCCCCAGTTAACACTGGTCAGAACCTGGAAAAGCCTGGTGATGGGGTGGGGCTTCTGCCACCTGGAGGCAGGAGGAGAGGGACGGGCTGTCTGGGGCAGGTGGGCTTGAGCACACGGACAGCAAGGCTGGGCCAGCCCCGCGGCGGCTCTTAGTGACAGCCCGACCCCCGCGTGAGCTCCGTCCTCACATCTCCCTGCAGCCCCCGGGGGTCAGAGACGCTGCTCTTTGTGGGGATGTCCATCGGGCTCGCCTTTGGAAGGGAAGTCTGCTCCAACCTGGCAAAGACGGGGTTGTCTAATTTTCTAAAGCCCTGGTTCCGCTTGATCATTAAGAATCAACTTGTTTTTAGCTGAAGCTCAACATGTGACGGAGCTCCTGTTGGAGAGTTTGGTTTCCAGTGAAAACCCCAGGAAGGAATGCGCGTCTCGGCCAGCCTGGCGGGTGCTGCAGGGCTTTGGGCTCCTGTTCCCGCTGCGTCTCTGCTGGTCTCTCCGCCTCTGCCTCTCACTCTGCGTCTGTGTCTGCGACTCCTTGTCTCTATGCTGCGTCTCTGTGTCTCTCTGCATCTCTCTCTGTCTCTCTGTCTCCCTCCCTCTGTCTGTCTCTAGCTGTCTGTCTCTGTCTCCTCCTCTGTCTCAAGCCAGACAACCACAGATGATGTAACTTGGACCCTAAGCGGCCTGCTTGTTGTAGCTGAACAATCCACATGTTCTAGGTGATTTAGAGAAGAATCACCCCCTCTTTCTCACGGGAACAGGGCAGGACGAATCACTCCTGGGGTCCCTCGTCCCCATGGAGCAGAGCCCCCAGACCCCTCCAGAAAGAGCTGGGGTGCACCCCGGGAGCCCCGCACCCTCCTTGCTCCGGGACAGCCAGTCTCTCCCGTCCAGCAGCCCTGCTAACAAGCTGGCCGTGGCCGCTGGCGACAGCACACTAATGACAATCGCAGGCCCAGCTGCAGCGGCTGGCCTGGCACAGGCGGACGGAACCACCTTCCCCTTCCAGGCCTCCATGTTCAAGCGCTGCGCTCCGGGTGGGCCTGGTGGGGACCCGCGGCCGCTCACCTCCCGCGTGGGCCATGACTCGGAGCGGCGGTGCTGGACCCGCGACTGTGCACTGGCCATTCATGTCCGCAGGGAGCGCCTTTGGCCGAGAGCAGCAGAGAGCCTACGTGTCCTTATGCGGTGTGAATGCAAGCGTCTAGCCCTGCACACGGCTTTTCTAACCAGTGAATCGTCAGAACCCCGTGGGGCTGTCGGGAACCCCCAGCGCTTGGGGGTTGAGAGGCGTGTGTGGTGTGTTCGCTTGTTACAAGAGGGCGGGCACAGGGAGGCTGGGCTCAAACAGGGTTAAAGGCTAGAAAAGCATCTATTCCTTCCGATCTCAGTTTTGTCTGAATAGGTTTTCAAGGCAGAAAATTCTGAAGATGGGAGAAAGAAGGGAGGGGAAATGACTCCAGGTTTTTATCTTGACAGAGGCACAAAGGAATTTCAGGTGAGATAGGAAAAGGAAGAGAAAAGGGAAGAAGTCTCGGGGCTCTGAGGCCAGGCTGGGTCCTCGCAGTGGGTGGGCAGAGGGAGTGTGTCCGGGGTCTGCCCCACCCCACCCCCGGGAGAGACCAGCGTGAGAGGCGGAGGTCCCGGGATGCCCAGGACATCAGAGAGCAGCAGGGGCCACGCTGGGCTGAGTGCCAGCTGGAGGCTGTCTCCCAGCCTCTCCAGTGTGACAAATGGGGCTTTGGTCCTAGGAGAGGCCGTGGGTGAGAGTCTCCAGGGGAAACCAAGGCACACATGGGGAGTGACTGGCGTGCAGCCCTGGTCTGTCCCATCTCCTGATTCTTCGTCTGCAAAGTTTCCTTTAAATCTTAGCCACCTTGGGGAAGGGTCAAGGCCGTGGCTCAGCGTGCAGCTTCTTCCAGCCCCGGAGGCGGAGACAAGGCGTAGGCAGCACAGGGATCACTCACGACCATCCTGTTAGCCAGCTCGGCTGCTGTGACGAAAACCGCAGCCTGGGCCGTGCCAGCAGCAGACATCAGTCTCCCCTGCATCTGGAGGCCAGGCGTCTGGGATCGAGATGCCCGCAGACTTGTCTCCTGGTGAGGACTCTGCTCCTGGCTCGTGGACGGCCACTGTCTCCCTGGGTCACTTACCACTCAGACGATGTGGAGGGCGAGCACTGGTCTCTCCTCCTCTTCTAGTGAGGACACAAATCTCAGCCTGGGGGCCCCACCCCCAGGGCCTCAGCTAAGTCTCATCACCTCCCAAAGAACCCACACCCAACACCATCTCTGTGGGGTGGGGGTTAGGACTTCAGCCTGTGGAATTGGAGGGACGCGAACGTTCAGCCCACGATACCCGGTGGCCTGGATGGAAATGGTGTCAGTGGCACAGACTGCCACTGCACAACTCTCAGGGGCACGGGTCACATCCTGGTCTGTGCACAGACCCCTGAGGTTGTGCAGTGCGCAACCTGCACAACCATCCATGGTGAGCCTGAGCCTGGCATCTACCGGTCACTCTGAGCCCTGCATTTGGGGCTCTCCCCTTGCTGGTGGGGCCTCCTTTAACAAACAGGTGATGCAGGAGAATGTTAAAGCAGTGAAGAGCGGCAGGGGCCCAGCAGCCCTGGAGAAGACCCACCGGCCGCCGGGACATGGGCCTGGAATGGCTTCGCCCACTCTTAGGTTCCGGATCTGACCTTGTCCTCTCTGCGAGGCCATCAGGAGGCTTTGCTGTCCTCAAGGTGCCAGCGGGCAGCCCTGGGACTGTGAGGCCAGACCACAGATAGACCCTCCAATTCAGAACTCCAGGCGTGTCTGGCTCCAAGGCCAGAGACTGGCCCTGGGCTTTGCAGCCGCTGTGGGCTGCGAGCTGGGGCCTGAGGTGTCAGAGAGCGAGGCCACTTCACAGGGAGGCGAAGGGCTCCCGGGTGACTCCGTGGGCGGGCGCCGCTGCTCGCGGTCCTGAGCTCCCTGCCACCGGCCTCCTGCGATGCAGACCCACTGCATCACCGGGCCCAGCTCTCAGCCAGCGCCCCCCACACGCAGGGTCAGAGCTGGACGCTCAGACCTGTGGGCTCCTTAAGCCAGCGTCAAGCAGAGACGCAGACTAGCAGGAGATGGGAATGGACTGGCCTGTGGGCATTGGCCACGGCTCTGAGGACTAGCTGGGCAGGTGGGACGCCCACCAGGCAGACTGCCGGGGGTCGGGGGGCGGCGGGGCTGGACTCTCAGGGGCAGGGTCTCCGCCCGTCGGGGAAGCCTCCGCTCTGCCTGGGTGAGTCAGGCCCTCCCCTCCTGGATCATCAAGGACACTGGTCCTCATCAGAGTCAACCGATTCTGAGCCATCGTCACCTTGACCAAACACCGAGGCCGCCGTGTGACTGCTCGCTGGGCCCCTTCACCTCCTCAAGTGGATCCAGGACTGGTGGGCCTGATGTCACCCCACTGATGGAGGGTGGTGTGAGACCTGGAGAAGACCCACAGCTCAGCCAGGGTCAAGGGGCCGGCCTGTGGCCGTAGCGGGGGGCTGGGCTCCATCCCCGCCTGCTCCACCTCTCCTGCAGCCCCTCCGGCAGTCTCACTCAGGGCCAGGCCCCGGGAGTCCCCTCTGCAGGGACAGACACCTCCACAGGTCCTCCCTCCGCACAAAGGCGGTCCTCGGGGCCCTCTGTAATGGGCTCCCAGCAGGCTCCAGATGGAGCAGTGGTTCACGCCCCAGAGGTGAGGTGCCCCAGGGTATGTGACAAGGGGGCCCCACTGGCCGGCTGAGGCAAGGCTTCTTGGAAAGCAGCATGGAAGCTGGGCTCAGGGTGACAAGAGAGAGTAAGCGGGCTCCCCGGGGAGGAGAGCTGGGCGCTTGCTCTCGCCCCAGAGTCTGCAGTATCCTGGCAGGAATGCGCCTCCCCTTCCGAGAGTGTCAGTGGCTGGGTCGGGGGCGATGGGGGCTCAGGCATGTGTCCTGAGCATGCACAGCGTTTGGTGGCCGGGGCAGGGCCTCGATGAACTGATCCACGAGACCTGACCTTCCTGGGTGCGTTGGCTGAAGTAGGAGTCTCCTGGGGGCGGGCAGGACCCTCACAGGAAGGCAGGGGTTGGTGGGTGCCGGGGTGCTGCACGGGCCAACCACTGAGACAGGCGTTGCCCGCCCCCCGTCCACGGCAGGCGTCCCTGTGACCACCGATGGCCACCCCGGGTGACTGGAGGGTTGAAGCCGGGCCTGGATCTCCTCTGGCTCCTCTGTACCCTGACGTCCTTCCAGCCCTGGCAGGAACCCCCGTGGTCCCAGCGATGAGGTCTCCGTGGCCGCCACCTGGCTGGACAAGGCAGGTGACCCCTTCAAGCCTCCTGTAGAGGGGAAAACGTCCCTCTGTGCCCGGCCCTGTGTGGGGAGCATGCTTCTGAAGTGTTTGGGGCAGAGCGGGTGGGCACAGCCTCCCGGTACTGCGACCCCTCACACATGTAGGCACCTGCCCCGGCTCCCGGGGGCAGAGGATGCCCCAGCTCCAGAGCCCTGCCTCCAGAGGCAGGTCCGCTCCTGCCCTGAGCCCAGAAAGAGCCTGTAGTCAGCGCTCGGCCCAGAGGGTGGCCCCGGGGAGCCGTTCTCAGGGCAGACGGGCTGTGAGGGTCCGCGTGGGCCCCCTGCCCTTACCGCCCTCCGGGACAGACCCGGGGATGCCTGGGGAGACTGCACAGGGCGCCCCCGGCCTGGGCTCCAGCACAACACTGGTGTGCCCGGCGCTCCGGAGATGCTTGTCTATCTGCTGAAGGCAGGACCAAGACCCCGCAGGGGCTCTTGCAAGGCCCCTCCACTCGTGTGGCCGCTGGCATGTGCTGATGCAGCCTGCCGATGGAGCATCAGGCGTGATGGTGAGCCCCTGGGAAACCGGCGCAAAGAGAGAGGAGGCCAGACAGAGGAGGGAAGGGAGGACTGAAGGGACGAGGGGAGGAGGGGGGGAGGGAGAGAGGGAGAGAGGGAGGGTCCCTGCCCAGGGCGCCCCCTCCCCTCGAGCAGGGGCCGGAGGAAACGGGGGCGCGGGAGGGGCGCGCAGTCAGATCTGACCCCGTTACTCCTCTGACAGCGACCAGGGCCCGGGGTGCCCTGGGCGTGGGTGGAGGGTGGGGCCTGAGCTCGGGGGACAGCAGACAGCAGGCAGGACCACAGCGCTGGCACGGAGGGGAAGCAGGGCTGCAGGGTGGGGGTCTCGGGTGGTGCCCCGAGCAGGGGCCAGCCTGGGGGAGGGCGTGAGCGGAGCGGGAAGCAAGCGGAGGCGACTTGAATTGAACGGGGACGTCCACCCCTGCCAGGCCTCTCCCGGACCTGAGAGCAGACAGAACAAACCCACATCTTTCGTGAGAACCCCTGGCAGAGGGGGTCTCCCCGGGCGGGCCTCAGGCTGTCCAGAAGGGGCTTCCGCTCCAGAGCCGGAGGCCCAGCATGGTCCACACGGTGGTCTGTGGCCCCCCCTTGGGAGACCCTGAGGTCCGGGCCTGGGAGACCCAGGGCCTGCTGGCCGGCGGGAGGGGGCGGCAGGCCTGCAGGCAGAGGATGTTTGCACAGTGAGTCAGAGCAGCTGTGGGCTCTCGTTACACCCGGGTCCACGGAGGCCGGAGCCCGGCTCACTGAGGCCGAAGCCCGGCTCCTCCCGCCAAAGGGGCCCCGGCTGGGGGCAGGGAGGTGGCCGCAGACAAAGGCGGGACGTGCGGCCCGTGGCCGGGGGCCAGCTTAAATTAGGGAACATCTGAAATGAAGGAAGTTCTGTTGTGTTCTAAGAACCCAAGTCTGTTCGAACAGGAGTCCACAGATTAGCGGCCGGGGCCGCTGCCAGCCCGGCATCTTGAGGGGACTGATTGAGGCGCAGATATAAATAACTTGCCCCCAGGTCCTGGATCCTTCAGCGGGTGAAGGGACACAGTTACGGGGATGGGAAAGCGGAGCCCGGGGCCGGCTCCCTGCCGCCCGGGGTCACAGCGGCTCTGAGAAGGCTGGTTACCCACGGCCACAGGCACGGTGGGGCGGAGTCCCTGGACAGCTCAGGGTCCTCGGTCCTGCCCATGGCTTGCCCCAGGTTGGGGGGAGAAAATTGCTCAGAAATTCTCCTGTGGCTAATTCATTCCAGAAGCCACCAGACTGAATACAGCTACTGTACATAGATTTCCTCATTATCCTGGGGAATATTTTGGCCAAAAGACTAAGGAAAAAACCAGAAAAGATGCAGTAAGTGTCTGGCCCCCCGCGGGGGTGGAGGCGGGAGACAGAGGGAGGTTGGAAAGACAGCGTGTTCACACTGAGGATGTCATCCGCTTCCTTGCTGGAAGCCCTGGGCTGGGCACCCAGGAGAACCCAGGCAGGAAGGGATGCAGCTTTCCCACCCGGGAGGGGTGAAGTGGGCTGCGTTTCACCCTGGCACCCGGACTTGATTTATAGAGGTGACCGAGGGAGAAGGCAGGTGATCAGAGACGTGGAAGAAGACTTCATGCCGAGCGGTTTTCAAGGGGAGGAACCACGCAAGCCCACACGGGGCTACACGGGGAAGCCCCAGGGTCGGCCGGCACTCAGGAGGGAGGGGAGAGCTTGGCCCAGAAGCCCCACTCTGGTTTCCGAGCAGGGATCTGGTGAGGTAGGCCCAGCTCTAGCGGGTTTGAGTAATTCCAGTTGGCTCTGGGCTACTAGGTACCCCTGGTCATCAAGTTATCTGGCTGGCAACTTAGGGCCTGGGGACCCTGGCTTGTGTGAGGGTTGAAGAAGCAGGTGGTCGTTGGGGGTGGGCTCCGGACTGTTGGTCTGGATGTGAAAGGCCTGTTTGCAGGGCTTGTTTGCTGTCTCTAGGAATACGCTTCCCTCTGGGGAGGGGCAGATGGTCTTTCCCAAGCCAGCAAGGCCCCCAAGATGCCAACGCATCGTAGGATCCAGAGACTTTTACACATGCTTGATACGGACAGATGGACACCTCTCTGGCCAGGGGTTTGTGGTCTTTTGCAGAGCACTCAGCACAGCTGGCCTCTCCCAGGCCTTGGCATGGCCTCCCCTGGAGCTCGGGGGCCCCTTCTGCTCCTGGCGTCTCCCGGGGCACACTCGGAGACCTGTCCTGGGTGGTCTTCTGCTTTGACCCCCGAGGGCAGCTCAGGGCCTGGTGCCCGTCTCCTGAGCCCTGCCCCACGTGCCCCCGTCCCTGGCCTTGCCTGGGCCCCAGATCTCTTCTCCCACGGCTCCGTCTCTGTGACCCGCCCTCTGTCTTCTGCATCATCCAACCCTCAGGGTCAGCCTCGCCCCACCGCCCCCATCCACACCACCCCAGACGCCTCCACGGCCCCCAGCTGCCCTCAGTCCTGGATTCTGTTTTTCCAGCCCGCCTGCCTCCCGGCTCCAGGCTGACCACCCTGGCCCTCCCTCCAGCCAGTGCCAGAGCCGCCCTCTCGGGCCCCTGCCTGCATCCGAGGCCCCCGCAGCACCTGGAGAGCAAGTGTCTCCTCCAGCCTCGCCCCCCAGGCCCCGCGCTAGCCTGGCCCTAGACCCAGACCCCGCAGACGTGTGCCCTGGTGGTCCCTGCTCCCAGGAGCCCGGCCGCACGCCAGCCCGGACGACCCGGCCCTCAGCCCCTCCTGCCCCCACCCCACCCCCGGCCCCCCACGCACAGAGCCTCTCCTGGTTCCTGTGGCTCATCCTGCCTTTTCTGACCTCCGGGGCTTCGCAGGGGACACCCCTCTGGGCCCCCTTCCCCCCAGGCCCCCTCCTGTGTTGTCCATTGTATCTGCTTGTCTCTCTCCCACCCCAGATGCCCAGAAACCTAGGGAGTGCCTGGCACCCCCAAATGCGCAAAGAGCACCCAGTGAAGAGACAGGGAGACCAAAGGTAACTCCAAGGCCTCAGGGCCCATCCGGGGCCGGGTCTCTTCCCCGGCAAGGCTGTCAGGCAGCTCAGCTCTCTTCCTGGGAGAGACAGCTGTCAGAGAGAGCACACTGTCTGAGCCCCCGTTTTTTAGGGAGGAGAACTGAGGTCCAGAAAGAGGAAGCCTTGTGATGGAGGGACCAGGCCTGGGACTAGGCCCTTAGAGTCTGATGGGGTGTTTCCTTGACCGCACTGCTGGGCCCAGCGAGGCCCCGGGGGTGGCAGCAAGGCCAGCGTGGCCAGAGGGACATGTAGGGTCAGAGGTCAGGGGTTGGGTGGCCAGTGCCCTCACTGGGGCTTCCAGTTAGGGAAGGGCCGTGACCAAGCAGAGGGACGTTGATTGTGCACCTACTGTGTGCATCCATTCACTTCCCCGGAAGCCCAGAGTCCAACCGGGGGGCGGGGATGGGGGCTGAGGAATCGGCTCAAGGGTCCTGCAGCGCCCACTGGGGTCCTGCGGACAGCACCCCGATGCACGCATAGCGTAGCCCGCTCAGGGACGAGTGGCCATCAGGCCCGACTTGAGGCCGCAGGAGAAGCCCCAGAAGGACACTGCATCCGTCTGGGGGCTGCCCCGCCCCCTGCCCTTGGACACAGGCGTTGTCCCGAGTCTCGGGTGAGGTGACACCATGAGCAAGCGTCCTCTGTGCCCCGCGATGCTGGGGCGTCCAGGTCTGGAGGAAAGCTGTCTGCGCCGCAGCGCCGGCTGCGGAACCTGCGGGGTCCAGTGCAAATCGCTGATGCGGGGCCCTTGATCAGCAACGGGGGAAGTTCTCAAGGCGGCCACAGCAGAGCAGAGCCAAGGGCAAGGCCCGCCCAGGACAGTGGGCGGGGGGGACAGCCAGGGGCGTCTCGGGAGGGGCCTGGCACCAGGAGTGTGAGCAGGACAGGCAGGCTAGGGAGGGGGGCGGAGGGGGCTCTGCCTGGAGCCTGGGGGCGCCCAGCGAGGGGTGTGCAGAAAGAGGGGCAGGAGGCACAGCCTGGGGGGCTTGAGCTCCTCATCCCACGGGCCTGCGACCCCAGGCAGCTCTTAAGCAGGGAGTGGAGAAAACGAGAGTCTCGTGTGGAGGAGAGTCGGCCAGCGAGCTGGGAGGCAGAGTCATGTCTCCCCACCTCCTGGGCCACGCCATTCTGGTGAGCCCCTGACCCCCGCCCACCTCCAGACTCCAGGGACCCTGTCCTCAATCGTGTTTGCTTGGCGGGGAGGACCTGCAGCCCAGAACAGCCCTGAAAAGAGGGGGCACCCAACTGGGGGACCTGACCTGACGGTGAGCGCTGGGGACCAACCCCCAGAAAAACGCCACTTACGTCAATGCTCCCACACCGCCGGCTCTCCGGCCCTCGGAGGCCCACCCTGCACCCCCGAGACCCTTCGTGCTGCTCCTGGCTGTCCCCTCGGCAGGCGGTGAGTGGCCTGGCATCCTGACTCCCTCACCCTTCACTTCCCAGGAGAGCTGCACATGCCGGGAGCCCACAGGGGAAGCAAGGTAACCGCCTTGGAAATAACTAAATAAACCATGCTGGAAGAAAAATAAATGAGTTGGAGGATATAACAAAAGAAGTCACCATTGAATTCGCACAGAGACTTGTAATGAGAGCTACAAAACAGCGATTTAGTTTTTAATCAAAATGAGAAGATAAATAAAATATCTCTTCAACTGAAAATTTATAAACGTGCAAACATCTTGAGTCAAGTAAAATGTTATAATACATATATTAAGAAAATAACAAAGCAACTATACTCCAATAAAAATTTAAAACATACTAAATAGATATTTAGTGGTGGCTCAGTGGTAAAGAATCCTCCTGCCATTGCAGGAGACACAAGAGATGCTGGCTCAAGCCCTGGGTCCAGAAGATCCCCTGGAGAAGGAAATGGGAACCCACTCCAGGATTCTTGCCTGAGGAATCCCATGGTCAGAGGAGCCTGGCGGGCTACGGTCCACAGGGTCACAAGAGTCAAATGTGACTGAGCGCTGAGTATGTTTAACAATGAAAACTTTTATATAAAACTGTTTGTGATGCAGTGAGGCTCTGAGAGAAAGGTATGACTTAAATTCTTACAAACAGAAGAAAGATAAATTTGAAGCCTAATTAACCTAGAGCCCTTATCTTTTAAGTAAAACCAAACCACAAATGCTCCCTCATTTGGGAGGCGCTGATTCTGCTTTGCAAACCTGGGGCCTTTGCTGAACAAACTGCTTCCTCACGGGCAACTCATGTCAGCAGCACCGCTGCCAAGCAGCCCTTGGCGAGTCTGAGAAAACATTGACACTCTCTCAAAACCTCTCTTGACTGTTTGCACAGAGGCAGGAAGCGAGTCCACCCTGTTTGGTTTGCCTGGTCCTTTAAGGATCTCCAGGAGACAACTTCCAATAACCGACACACACCTTCCCAAAACCCCCAGCCTGCATCCCAGGCCAGAACGCTGCTCTGACACCGGCCCGTTTATTCAGACGTCTCCAAAAGCCAGACGGGCCCGTCTCATTAATTCGAGGGAGTGGCGCCCACCTGTCCACCGCCGGCCACCTCTCCGGCCAGCCTCTTAAACTGCTGGCCTCCATCCTAAGTGCTGTGGATCCGAGGCCACAGAGCTCATCCTCGTCAGGGACAGCTGCAAGAGAGAAGCCAGCGCATGAGGAGGGCGTGGCCTGGGGCTCCTCTCAGGGGGCCCCCGCTTGTTAGCTGTGCTGACTGCCCCAAGGGGTACGCGGCACAGCTGGAGCCCTAACTCCTTCCGGGGATCCTGGGCCCCACTGCCCAGGGGAGAATGGAATGAGGAGTCAGGGCTGGCCCAGAGATGCCCAGCGTCCCGGCTCTGCCCAGAGATGCCCAGCGTCCCGGCTCTGCCCACAGA